CCGCGACGTCGGCCGCGGCCCAGCAGCGCCTCCCCGCATCGCCGAGCCCCCGCCGAGCATGGTCCGCAGCACGGCCGCGTCGGCTCCGGCAGGGCGCACGGGGCCGAGGCTCGGCCGCGACGGCGCGCCTGGCGCGGCGCCCGCTGACATTGGCACACGCTCGCACCTGGGCCAGGCAGCAGCCCGGGCTGGGTCTTCGGAGCCCGTGGCGCCAGGACAGCGGCGCGGGCCCCTCAGCGGGCCACCGCTGGGACCGCCACCGCGGGCGCGGCTTGGCTGCTGCAGCACATCCCCCAGGCAGCTGACGCATCGCCGCTGGGACAGGGTCCCCAGATGCGCCGCGGAGACAGGGGCCCAAGAAGGGGGGGGCGCTGGCTGCGCAACGCTGCTGCGGCGGCCCCCCTCCCTTCGGGCCGGCGGCGCCCGTTGGAGAGCAGTCGCGAGCAGGGCCCCGGCGGGAGCTGATGTGAGGTGGCGCGCCGTTCGAAGCTGAGCCCCGCACAGCACCTGCCGCGGACCTAGGAATCTGAGCGGACCTGGCGCGGCAAAAAAGAACCAGCGGATTGAGCGACCCAGCCCTCCCGTCGCACAGTGGCTGGCCCCTCGCTCTGACATGGGCGCGTTTGAGCGGCACGGCAATTCCACCTGGCGGTTCGCGCATGCGGGTGGGGCGTCGTCGTCGTCGTCGTCGTCGTCGTCGTCGTCGTCGTCGTCGTCGTCGTCGTCAAGATCCGGCAAGATCCGGCCTTGCAGGATCTGGCAAGATGCTGCGGGATCCTGCGCGCCGCACGCCGGGAGCAGTGCAGCCCCGGCCCCGCGGGAGCCTGCGAGGTCTGGCGCTCTTGCTGCCGCCCGTCTGCATCGACCCCCGTCCCTCGAGCCCCGAGATGCTCCATCCTGGCCGCCGGCTGCCGCCGGCCGCCACCCCGCCGCCGGCGTCGTGGTCGTCGCGGCTCCCCCGCGCGCGGAGATGGGACGAGACGAGAACGATGTCATGATGCGACCACACAGCCGTGACAAAATTTTCTTCAACTTGCTATGATGAAGATCTCTCCCATCCCTCTCAAGCTTCCTGACTTGACACAATGCTGGGATCAGTCGGCGGAGTAGTTTCCGATCCCGGAGACGTTAATAACCCTGTTACGTCTATAGACGCACCCACCCAAAGTGCGTGTATAAATGTAGCATCACCCAGTGTTTCCGTAGACGCTGGTGGCTAGAACGCTAGAGCGGTATTTGGCCTACACGTCCGAGATATTGGTGCTCTGTAAGCAGGTCGACTGGGCCCTCCAAATCAGGGTACCCTCCCCGAACCGACCTCGATCTTACACCTCGGCCCAACCGTATCGTGACTTCTTCCCAGACCCCCGACGCCATGATATTTCGCATGACGTGGACCCCCAGCGGTCTGGACCCCTTCCCCGGGACCGGTTTTTCATCCTGAGTCGTTGTTTGACGGCCCCGAGGGCTGGCAAGGGCCCCCAGAGGCCGACAATGGCGAAGCACTTCCCTTCACGAGTTTGCTTGCCGTGCCCCGCGGGGGTCTGGGCCTCACACCCGGGCTAGACAGCATCACGACCTCCCGGCCCTCCGAGCGTGGGGCGAGCGCGACGCGCAGCGCGCCTGCGCCGGTGCCCTGCCCGCCCTCCCCGGGTGGTGGAGCAGGAGCTGGTCGACGTACCTCTCGGCCGCGGGAGCGCCACCGACGAGCCACAAGAGAACCCCCAGCGGTCAGGGCCTAACCCTCGGGGATGGACAGACCTCCCTTTAGTAAAACGTGGTTTAGCGAAAACGACCTCGGGCCCCAACCTGGCGGGCGCAAGCCTGGAATATAGCGGCCACGGCGCCCTCTCGAGAACCGAAAACGGACAATGCACTAATCGACGTGTCACTGGTGGGGGTTCTGTGCACCCCCGACTAACCCTCTGGGAGGGAGCCTGAGTTACAGCGGAGGCCAGTCCACAGGAAGCCTTCCACGAGACGCCCAACCCGGAGTCCCCAGGACGTCCCTTGACTTTTTGGTGTGGGAACGTCACGCCTCCCACAGCAGAACCATCGCAGCCCAAGATACCCAGGGCACCCTGGAGGCAAGCACGGCGTCTCTTGGCATGGGCCTCCACCGTAGGAGGGCCAAAAGACATCAGGGGTGTGGGGGTCTTCCCCTGCTCGTCGTGCACCAAGCCCAGCCGCGCCCAGGTCTGCTATCCCCTAACGCAGAGACTGGCGCCCGAGGGAGGCCACGTCTTCACTCTGTCCTTCTGGGGAGCGGGGCTCCTCGACCCTCGAGGACCCACGGCAGCGCGCGGGGGGCAGGAGCGGCGCCCCCTCCCGCTTGCCCTGCCCTCCCTGCCCGAGGCCGCCCTGGGCCTCGGGCCGTGGACGAGGACCGCGGCGGCAGCTCCGGGCTTCGCCAAACGCCGGCCCCCATGGGGGGGCCCGCGACGGCCCGCAGGGCCGTCATTCGGAACGACTCGGTTTTTTTTTTTTACTGATAGAGACTGACCGCAAGCGAACCAGCCCACGTTTGAAAAACCGCTAGCCAGCGCAGGGGACGCATTCGACCCGATCCCACGCAGCGTGGGATGGGTCGTCGTCGTCCTCCTCTACGCTGGCAATGGGAAAGCCAGAGAGGCCGTCGGTCCCTGGGAACGGGTCCAAGCCGCTGGGGTCAGCAGGTCGGGCTTTGTCCTCCTGCAGGCGGGCTCTGGGCAGACATCAAAAAATAGCCAAAAAGACCACACAAATAGACCAAACAGATTCCAGACATTGTCCCAAGACCATTTTGGAACTGTCTAAGAACCCAGACCATCCAAAGACAATAAGAGAAGAAGTAGCAGCAAAAAACATTAGCAACCACAGAAAGGAAGAAGATAGCTTGCGCGCCGCAAAAAAAACTCGATACAGGGGGACTATTCGTAGTCACCCTGTATAGAGGGATACCGGCCCGACGGACCGCCGGGGGCCGACGCCCTGCAGGAGGCAGGACGTCGGGGGGCCTGGGGCCCCCGCGGGGGGCGGAGCATGCCACGGGAGCGGGCCGTCGCTCCAAGAGGGCGCAGGGAGCCTGTTTTTTTTGGATTCGGGCAAGTTTACTTGCATGGCGTTCCCCCCCCCCCCCTCGCCCCTCTTCAAGCGAATACTAGCGTGCAAGTGCCTTTCGACTTGCGTGATTTCCGAACGTGCAAGTCGTTTGCGGCTTGCTTCAGACTCAGCCAGCCCCCCCCCCGTCCATGCAAGTAAACTTGCCAGAGTCTAAAAAAACAGGCTCCAAGAGGGCGCAAGGAGGTCCGCGCCGGGGACAGGCCTCAGGTCGGGCCTGTCCCCCTGCAGGGGCACTGTGGAGGAAAACTGAAAAAGAAAGGTAAAACAGATCCCCAAAAAATTACAAATAAATGCTTTAAAAAATAGTCCCCAGGCTATGCTTCGAACTATGTTTGGAGATTCCTCCTGCAGGGGTACAGGCCCGACTTGAGACAAGCCAGGGCGCAGCGAGTCCTCACCCTGCGGCCTCGCGCGGGGCAGTCTGCGGGGCCCCGTCGAGTCGCCCCCCGAAGAAGACCGTCGGGGGCGGGCAGCGGGTCCCAGGGGCGGGGTTTAGACTTCAGTCGGGCCTGTCCCCATACAGGCCGATATTCTATGAAAAAAGAAGAATACGCAACAAAAATCAAAAAAGGATCAAGAAATACTCCCAAAATCATCGCCAAGCTATTTTGGGACTATCTTTGATTTATCCTCCTGTGGAGGGACAGGCCCACCTTAAGACAAGTCAAGGCGGCGAAACCTCACCATGCGGCCTCTCGCAGGGCTGTCTGCTGGGCCCCCGAGCCGCCCCCGAAGACCGTCTGGGGCGGGCAGCGGGAGCGGCCAAGAAGGGGGTGTCCAAGAGGGGGGGTGCAGATCATGACCGGCGGCATGTGCGCGGCCCAGCGGGGGGGCGAGTGAGGCAATGGAGTAAGAAGGGGCGCCATGAAATCTGAGGTAATATATCATGGCCCTCGCCCTGAAACCCACCCCGCCCCTGGTCATCACCCCCCTCTTTGCCGCCCGCGAGGGCCGCGGGTCCTTGGGGCGGGGTCGAGAGCTCCCGCGGGCCGCCTCGGCTGCACGCAAGGAGCGGCCCCCTCGGCACAAGAGTGACCTCTGGCGCGCGGCTCCCTGGAAGGGCCCCGGCTGTGGCCAGACCTGGGCGCGCAGGCCGCTGCCATGCCGCTCCGCGCTCAGCGATCCAGGGCGAGGAGGAGGAGGAGGAGGAGGAGGAGGAGGAGGAGGAGGAGGGGGAGGAGGAGGAGGAGGGGGAGGAGGAGGAGGAGGAAGAGGAGGAAGAGGAGGAAGAGGAGGAGGAGGAGGAGGAGGAGGAGGAGGGCCCCATGGGGCCCGCACCAAAGAGGTCGCTCCGACGAAAGGTCCACTCTTGCGAGCAAGTCGGGCGTCGGAGGCCCGTGGGGGGAGCTGGGGAGGCTGTCGGGCGCGCTGCGCCGGCGGGGTCGCTGGAGGCCCCCCCGTGGAGAGAGGCCTCCTGGGGGCGGCCAGGGACCTCCATCGGGTCGGGCGAAAGGGGGGGATAGCAAAGGGGGGGTTTGAGAATCAGCTCACGTAGCTGATTTTCCCGGCGCCTCCCGGCGCCGGAGGCGGCTATGTATCGAGGAATGGGCCCCTCGGTGAGGCCGAAACTAGCTGCATGCAGCAAATTTCGTAACCCCCCCTTTCCCAATCCCCCCCTTCCGCCCGGCCCGACTCCAGGAGGCCGGGAGCACGGGCGGCCGGGTGCACGCGCGAAGCATATGGGGTGCAGGTGCGGAGGGGCGGCTTGGCCAGCCACGAGTTGAAGGATGAAGAAACGACCCTACCCTGGGTTACAAGTGCGTGGTCTGTAAACCTCCTGGGACCCCCCATAGCCTCGAGCCGCCAGGACGCGGCACATCACGCAGGGTTTACCCTGTCAGCCCACAGGAGTTTCAGCGCACAGCGCCTCGCAAACCAGGGTAGGGGCGTTTTTTTCTGCCCCTGAACGAGGGCGCGGAGCGCTGCAAAGGCATGCCGCCGAGGGTGCATCCGACGCTCGCTGGGGCCAGCCAGTGGCAGGGAGGAGCGCAGCTCCAGGCTTCTGGACGCCTTCGGGGTTGTTTTGTGGCTCCGCGTTTCTGTGCTGGACGGCAAACGAACCTACCTCGCTTTTGACCACCCTCGCTACCAAGAGCTACCAAGCGACGCCAAACTACGGCCGCACTGGTCAGGCCGCTCGATGGGGAGGCGCGTGGTATGACCTGGTTTTGCCTGGAAGCGAAAGCGGGGTAGGTAATCCACGCTCTGATGTGTTGTTTTAAGGGCACCCCAAGGTCCCCCAGGCAATGCCAGGGGGGGCACCGCTAGGGGAGTCGCCACGTCACCGCAGAGGAGGAACCCTGAGAGCTCGAGCAGGGGGTCGACTACACAATCGGTGTACCCCAAGATCATTCGTGCGTCGAGCCTGCGAACGGGGCGTAGCACGCCCGCAGATCTACGGACGTCCTGCGTTTTCGCAGGCTCGCCGCAGGAACAGCTCTGGGGCAAGCCAGCTCTGTCGCCGATCTTCTGCTCGAAGAACCCTCCCCCCGAACTCTCCGGAATCCGACCAAACCAGCCGAGGTCATCCAACACCCCCCCCTTGATCCCTGGCCCTCGAGCCCTCGGCCCCTCGAGCAGCAGCTGAGACCTCCCGGGCGGTGGCCCCCCCTTGGCCCCGGCACTGCCTGCCCCCCCCCCAGTGGGGATCTCAACTGGGCCCCCCCCGAAGGTGCCCTCGGGGGGGGCCCTGCCGGGAGGAGGCCTGCAGAGGAGGGGCGGGGGGAGGACCCGGATCTGGACCCCCCTCCTTCCTCTGATCGATGGCCTCCGAGATGGCCTCGAGGGATGCTCCGGGGCTCCCAAGAGAGCCCCAAGAGGGCCCCACGAGGGCCCCAAGAGGGCCCCAGGAGGGCACCAAGAGGGCCCCAAGAGGGCCCCAAGACGGCCCCATAAGGGCCCGAATACGGCTCCAGGAGGCGGTGTTGAATCGGAGGCTCTCGCGCCCTTCCGCCTCTTCCCCCTCCTGCAATGGTGGCGCAGTTCGCTCTGCAGTCGGACTCGATGGACAGGACACGCGGGAGGGCACAAGACCCTTCCGAGGGCCACATCGCCACAGAGGAATGTAGGAAGCATGGGTCGCGAGACACGGGACACAAGGGTACCCTTGACTTGGCAGGGTCGACCTACTAATCTGGGCCGACTGTAGTGGCAACCCCGCTTGGGTCTTGCCGCTAGCGCAGACGACCCCTGCCGCGCCGTCGACGCCAAAAAAGGTTCGGAGGCTCTCGACCACGGGCGGCTGTAAACCCAGGGTCCCAAGGCTCAAACGCACACCCCGTGATGGCGTCTGTCTTGGGGGCACTCTGGAAGGTGCCCCTGGCCGTCTTGGGAGACCTGGTCGGCTCAAGAGCCTGGAATCGCCCAAGCTCGTGAAGTCGGCATGTGATGTTAGCGTTCTCACGTGAGCGGTTTCAAGGCTGTCCAAGACGGCCCGAGAGGCCGCCAATATCGCCACAAGACGTCCCAAGAGGCTCGCCCCAAGGCCCCTCAGAGGGGCCCAGAATGCCACCCAAGATCGATTCAAATCGACGCGCGGAGCCTACAAGAGAAGGCCAAGGGGCCAAGACGGCACATGGAGGGGCCCATCCTGGGACATTGCAAGGAGCCCGCCCTCAAGATAACCCCAATACGCCCCTAGACGCTCCTCGGAGTCCCCCCAGAGGCTTCCAGAATACCGCACGGTGCTCTCAAGAGCAGGCCTCCAAGTGGGCCTAAATAAGCTTTCGCAGGTCCGCGGGGATTTCTTCGGTCGGTGCTAGGTCGAATGTCTTGCATCGGCCTTCTTCGGTTGGGTCCAGCGCCGACCGAAGAGATCCACGCGGACCTACGACAGGTGGAATCTGCACAATTTCTGCTCTTCGACTTCAGCCGCTCCGACTCCCTCTGCGCTCTTGAACCCAAGGATTGGAGGCGGCTGGGGTGTCTGAACTGGATGGACCTTGAAGAAATCTGCCAAGAAGAAATGATAAGGGAAACTCATGGCAACTCCGCTCAAAATCTGTCCCTGGACTCCTCCAGGGGTCCGCCTGCAGCAGCGCTGCACCCCAGATCCGTTTCTGTGGACGGCCCCGCGGCCCCCGACAGCGGCCCCGGGAGACCGAAGGGGGCAAAGCACCGCTTGTCGAAGCCAGCACCTCGAGCCTGCCCCCCCCCCCTTCCTGCTGGCCGGGACCATGGCTGGGCCACCTCAGACCCCCCGACGGCTCCAACCCGACGACACGGCACGGTGACGGGACTGGCCGACGACCGCTGGGCATTTTTCACCTCCGGAAGGCCGCGCTCAGCCGCTGCCGGCCGTGGGCTCGGCCCCGGCCAGGCTGGCGTCCCTCGAGATCTTCAGGACAGACCTTGCCTTCAGGGGGATGCCGTACATGTTGCCGTCGGTGCCAGGGATCCCGCTCGTGGGATAACAAAGAGCTGCGTGAGCAGGACTAGACTTCGGTCGGGCCTGTCCTCCGACAGGCGGATTCTGGGCGAAAGCTGTCTTTGATACAATCTATTGACAACTGATCGAAAAATCGCCCCCTGACTATTTTTGCGCAACTGTTGAACATTCCTCCTGTAGAGGGACAGGCCCGACTTAAACATCTGCTTATCGGGAAGACGTAAGACTCGGGTACGGGGGACTCGGGTTGGCCAGACGGAGCCATCATAAAAGTGACGAGGCCCAATCTGAAATTTGACGCGAGCTCCCGCTGCAAACATCCCACGAAAACTGGATCGTCAAAATCCATGACGCGCTCGTCAAAAAACGTCGGTGAACCCGAGTTCCGGCTTACTCGAGTCTTACGTTTCTCCGAACTTAGACCTCCGCAGGCCCGCGCGGATTTCTCTCCGGTCGGCGCCGGAAGCCCCACCGTGGGCGGCGCGCCGCTGGGGCACGCCTTGGGGGGAGGGGTCCAGGGCCGACCCTCGAGGGATCCCAGAGGACCTGCGACAGTTGATGCTCAACGGAGCTCAAGCTTTTTCCGGGGATGGACAAACCCTCCTTTTGTAAAACGTGGTTTAGTGAGAACGACCTCGGGCCCAAACCTGGCGGGCGCAAGCCTGGAATATAGCGGCCACGGCGCCCTCTCGAGAACCGAAAACGGACAATTCACTGATCGACGTGTCACTGTTGGGGGTTCTGTCCACCCCCGATTTTTCGAAACCACATAACGCGCGTTATGTGGGTGGGTCGGTTCGCTGGGCACATGGCATACCACGTTGCGCGAGCACTACGAACAGCAGAGCTGCGCGCTGCACCACGGGCGCTGCTGCAACGGGCGTGGGTGACGCGGAGGGCGTTATGTTATCTACTGGGTGGGTGGGTGACTTGGAGGCCGCATGACGCGCGTTATGTGTTCGAGTAAGAAAACTGCAGCTCATGCCGCTGTTCGTTTTTCCAGCTGGACCACTTCTTGTACCCGACGAAGGGGCCCCCGAACGTGGTGACCTCGCCGGTGGCCGTCGAGATTCTCAGCACGGAGTTGGCGTGCGCGGGGATGCCGTAGATGTTTCCATCCCCGCCGTTCACGCCGCCCTGCCACTTGCCGCCGCCCTTGAACGGACCGCCGATCGTGGTCACCTGCCCCGTCTGCGGCACCACCTTCAGCACGCTCTCCCCGTCGGCCGGGATGCCGTACACGCAGCCATCGTCCCCGAGAACGCCGCCCTGCCACTTGTAGGTGCCGTGCAGCCCTCCCCCGATGGTCGTGACCTCCCCGGTGGCCGGCACGATCTTCAGGACCGAGGTGGCGTGCGCGGGGATGGCGTAGATCGCCCCGTCTCGTGCCAGGACGCCGCCGTGCCACCTCAGCTGCCCCCATACGCAACGCGCGACCCGTATAGAGTGCTGGCACGGAGCTCATCAGCACGGAGACGGAAGGCGTACACGCTTTGCGCGGCACGTTCGCCACAACGCAGGCTGGCACGGGCGGAGCCGACACGCAGCGTGCCATCACGGACACTCTGAACACGACACGCGCGACGCTTCAAGACGAGCGTATCCCAGACCCCCGACGTCATGAATTTTTCATGACGTCGACCCCCAGCGGTCTGGACCCTTTCCCCGGGACCGGTTCTTCGTCCTGAGTCGTTTTTTGACTATCCCGAGGGCCGGTAAGGGCCCCCAGAGGCCAAAAATAATGAAAAACCTCCCGTCGTGATTTTTTCATAACTCGAGGGGGTCTGGGATCGGGGCAGCTAAGAGTGCCGCTTGTACTCCCCCTCGAAGACGGGCCCGATGGTCGTCATCTCCTCCGTGCGCGGGTCGAACTTGAGCACGGAGCCCGCGCAGTCCGCCGGCGTGCCCCCCGGCACGCCGCGGAAGCGAGCACCAACGCCCAGGGCTGCCCGGGTGAGTACCGGCAGCCTCCCATGCGACCGGGCCTCCGCGAACCGCCCGCCGCCCCCGCCCACACCGCCGGGGGCATCCGGACCCCCCGAAGGCTCCCTGAGGGGTCTCCGGGGCCTCCAGGGTGCCCACTTAAGGACGGCCTCCGAAGCGGCCCCAGGAAGGCCCCCGGGTTCCCAGAGGGGGGCCGGGAGCCCTGCAGGGAACGCGCCAAGCTGCGCCCAGGAGATCCCCAGAGAGGCACCCAAGACGCCCCAAGGTGCATCCGGTAGGCTCTACTAGAAGCCCCGAGAGGCCAAACACATCGAGCGAATCTGCCCGTCAACCCTTTGCGTTCCAAGAGGCCGCAAGCAGCCCCAAGATCTCAAGACACTCTCCAAGTGGCCCCCGAGAGCCCCGAACCGCCACGGCTTGGCCCGAGTGCCCTCCCAAGAGGCCAAAGAAACGTCGGAGGCACTTGACATGTCATTGCCGTCGCTCGACCAGGGCATCGAGCCGTTACATGCCACGGCCCCCTGGCCCATGAGATCTGGGAAGGGACGGGACACTCGTGTCGCGGCTTCCTGTGCTGTGCGGAACCAGTATGTAGAAATAGTACGTCACATGTTGCAGCAGGGCTGAACCTAAACGGTGTGGTTCGTTTTCGGTTTGTTTTCGTTTTCCCTCGTTTTGTCTTCGACTCGCCTTTACCGCAAAACGGCATCGAAACGAAAACGGCCCGCGAAAACGCCAAGACGCCGTTTAGGTCCAGCCCTGTGCTGCAGATCTCCCTGGAGCCTGGAGGCAGGAGCCCCTGCGCGGGTCTCGATCGGGCCGCCGCGCAGGGCTGCGCCGGCACGGTGGCGGGCCCTGCCGCAGGCTCCCGGATAGGGCACGCCATATATGCAGCCGTCGCCGGCGCGGATGCCGCCGTACCACTTGCAGCGCCTCTCCATCCCGCCCAGGCTGCTGGCGATCGTGGACACCTCGTCCGTGTTCGTGTCGACCTTGAGCATCACCTGTGCGCACGCGGGCACGCAGTAGATGGTGCCGTCCGGGAGCACGGCCCCGCCGTGCCACTTCCAGTCGCCCTCCGGCAGCCCGTGGCCGATGGTCGTCACCTGGCGCGTGTCCGGCACGATCTTCAGGATGCTCGTGGCGGTGGACGGGATCCCATAGATGGCGCCGTTGGGCGCCAGCGTGCCACGTCCCCACTTGTACTTGCCCTCGAACGGCCCGCCGATGGTCCCCACCTCCCCAGCGACGGGGTCTATCCTTTCGGCGCCCGAGTTGCGGGTACGGGAAAAATGGGCACGATACTCAACAACAAATGTTGTCTGACATCGGCATCGGCCGCTGTTGGGCAAGCGAGCTTCTGTCTCACATGGACAAATACCGCGGCGACGCCGACTGCAAAATCTGTTCAACATGAACAAGAACTTGTGTGATCATTCATTAGAACCTCTGTTGAACTCCGCGGTCCTATCATAAACGTGATTTCGATCGGATTTCGTTCAGATTTCGACCGCCCCTCTTCACCCTTTTGTCCAAATTTCTTCCAGATTTCGTCGATTTGGTCCAAACGCCGACGAAATCATACGAAATCCAAGCGACATGCCCCCCAAGCCGCAGGATAATCTGGGACCCCCCTGAGGCCCCGATGAAGGGCCACGCAAAACAAGAACTGCGGTTGGACTCTGCAACCACCTAGAGGCCACCTAGACTGGGTCGGAGTAGATGGGGTCGGAGGATCGCGCCGCATCGCCGATACATCGCCGATACATCGGCGATACATCGGAGATATATTGGCGATGCACCAGCGATGCATCGCCGACGTCGGCGATGCATCGGCGACGTCGACGTGAAGCACATCCGGCCCCACATCGAGCCGCATCGGCGATGCGGAGCGATCCTTCGACCCCATCTACTCGGACCCCATCCAGGAGGCCTAGACTTGTGGATGCCATTACAATGGACACTCTAACAATCCGATCATTGAATTAATAATGTGTTTAGAATGTATAACACATGTTCTAAACATGTTTCAAACATGCTTTTACATGTTTAAAACATGTTTGGAACACGTTTCAGACATCTGGAAGTTATTTGGCAGCACGCTTCCTCTCCATTGATCGACTTCGACAAGCCTGGACCACACTGCTTCCGTACCCGCTCCGGCCCCCGAAGCCGGCATCCTCAGCACGGCGCCGGCGTTGCCGGGCATGCCGTAGATCACGCCGTCGCGCGCCCGGACGCCGCCCATCCACTTGTGGTTGCCGTTCAGCCCGCCGCCCACCGTCGTGGCGAGGCCGCCGGGCTCCCCCCGCGCGCGGCCCGCGCCGCACCCCGCGCCGCCGGGCTCGGGCGGCGGCCCGCCGAGCCCCCGGCCGCCCCGGCCCAGGCACAGGTCGCCAGCGGCGGCGGCCGAGTTGCCCATGGGGCCGGAGGCGGGGCAGGCCTCTTTTTCGGGGGGGGGAAAGGGGGGGGGAGGCTTAGGAGGCTGGCCCGAGCCACAGCTCCCCCCCTCCGCGCGCCTCTGCCTCCCTCGAGGGGGCCTGGGCCCAGGTGCTCGAGGCGCTTCCCGAGGAGTGGCACGCCTGCCCGCGTGCACTATCCCATACCTAAACCTTGTCCGGTGTCGTGGTCACGAGCTCCTCCTCAGACGGGCATGCCCCAAGCTGCTGCAGGACGGAACGGCGGGGACAAAAGCAGAGGGCCAACAAACGGCAGAAGCAGAAGCTGCTGGAGGTCCGCGCGGATTTCTGGGGTCGGCACCGAGACCCCCACTGGCGGCGCTGGAGCCCCAAGCCTATTGTGAACGCTTATCTGAATGCCTTTGTTCCCCAATCCTAAGATGGGGTTCTTGTTATTTCTTGGGCGCCGCCGACTCCAGAGAACAAGAACACACCCAGAATACATACTTACTCATGCACAGACTTACTCATACTCAGACTTACTCATACCCAGACGTACTCATACATAGACTTACGCGTACTCAGACTTACTCATACCCAGACTTCCTCATACACAGACTTACTCATACTCAGACTTACTCATACTCAGACCTACTCATACTCTGACTTACTCATACCCAGACGTACACACGCACAGACTTACTCATACACAGACGTACTCATATACAAACCTACACATACTCAGACCTTCTCATAGTTTGAGTTGCTCAACACACGGCAGATTTTGAGGATGTCTCAGGCGGGGCGCTGGTTTCAGCACCCCTAAGGGGAGCCGCCAGGAGTGTTCACACGGGCCCGTTCGCGGCCAGGTTGTGGGGATGTCTCAGGCGGTTTGCTCGTTTTCATGCCCAACATCCTTTGCTTTCAGAGCAGATTGTGAGGATGTCTCAGGCGGGGCGCTGGTTTCAGCACCCCTAATGGGAGCCGCCAGGGGTGTTCTCACGGGCCCGTTCGCGGTCAGTATGTGGGGATGTCTCAGGCGGTTTGCTCGTTTTCATGCCCAACAGCCTTTGCTTTCAGAGCAGTTTGTGAGGATGTCTCAGGCGAGGCGCTGGTTTCAGCACCCCTAATGGGAGCCGCCAGGGGGTAGGACGCTCATGAACAGACGCTCGCTATGGCATGGCATAGAACATGAGATGCACATATGGGGAGCTCCACGCAGTGAGTAATTCTTCTTCGACGGGGGGGGGAGGGGGACACGTATGAGTTGCTCCTTCTGCCGAATCAGCGTGGCTCTTCGGCCCGAGAAGCCTGAGCGCAGCGCACGTTGTTGGCGTGCGTGCTGCAGCATACGACTGCCCCGCAGTAAGCCCAGAGGTGGCTCGCATCCGTTTCACGACTGCGTCGCAGATGATGCGCGATGGACTTAGAACGGGTGAGCAGCTAATGCGTCAAGGCTTACACGATCGATGGCAACCAGCTCAAAATGGAACGACAACGTGTCCGCGGTTGGTTCACACTTTGGCCGTAGTTCATTGAAGTTTAACGCATAATTGTCTTACGTTTCGAGCCCCAACTGGCTCCCCAATAATACTCAACTGGCCCGCACAACGACACCGCGACGCCACGACACGACACCGCGCAGCCGCGGCATTGCGACACCTGGACGACACGACACCCTGACCACGCATCACCACGATCCCCGCGACACAATGTTCGACAACACAATACCGCGACCCTACGACGCCGCGGCATCACACCACGGCAACACGACAGCGGGACATCACGCTACCACGACACCGCGACACGGCGACACCGCGACACGGCGACACCGCGACATCACAACAGGACTACAGCACTGCGCTGCAACACTGCGACGCCACGAGTGGTGGATGTAAGGATGCTGAGAGGGTACGGGGTAGACGAAAAGGAGGGATAACGATGTGGCGCGGAGATGACAGAAGAGAAGGCGGAGGTGGAATGGGAGGGGAGTGGGAGGAGGAAGAGAGGGACGCTCTAGTGGCTGACGACGGACCCCATGGTGCCGCACGAGAACACATAGAAATGGCCCGTTCTTGGCCCATGTTCTCCGAGTTCGGGATGGCGACCCCGCAGGTGTCGGTGCCGAAACGTGGGTCAACGTCGGCGGCCACACGTCGACGGCAGCAGCCACGGCGTACCCGCAAACCCTCGCCGACAGGCCGAGCCGAGACCGTCGAACCCGGGAGCGGGCACCGACCACTGCGCTCCCCCGCGAGAGCTGCACTGCTTTCGCAGCTGCTCGCGGCCGATGCTGCATGCGTGAGCCGCGAACGTTGCGCCGACCGGCAGATGCCGCTCGTGCGGGCGCCCGCCCCCCTCGTTGCCTCTCTCCGCCCCTCCCTCCCGGCCTCCGTCTTCTCCTCACACCCCCTGCTTCGCCACCGCCTTCTTACTGCGTGCGCCATTCTCAGCTGCTGTCTCCCTCCCTCAAGCCACTTGGGCTCAAGCATCTGGTTTGAGCCGACTCTTGCGCCTGCACGAGGCGCTTGAAGCGCATCGATTCCCGCTCCTGCTTCCCCCGGATCGGAGTTGCGTCGACCAAGGCAAAGAATATATTCGCAGGGATGGCTACGCATTCTACTACGGGACGTCTGTGGAGTCGCTGCAGTGGGTGTCAGAAGTGCGAGCACAACGATGTGTTGCTCTGCAACCATAGGCTTGGCGGCTGTGGCAAGAAGGTGAAGACGTACGCGCCGAAGGAGAGGGTTGGCCGCAGCCCCAAACATGTCACCTTCGCCGGCGCCCTGGTCATCGTGGAACGTCCAGGCAGTCGAGGCCAATCTCCCGCAGATGGCAAGACAGCTCCATGGGCCAAGAAGTCTGAGAGCGACAAGGTGGTGGCGCACCTCATGGAGGCGATCGGCCAGACTACGCACGAGGAGCTCAGGAAGTTCCTCCTGAGTAGGCCGAGGCGCCCCAGGCAGCAGCCCTGGAACCAGAGTCACACTCGGCGGCGCTGGCGTTGATTTTTCCTCGGCGGCGAGGCAATTGGCTGTGCACCAGAGCGACAGCTAGACAGGGGGTACCGTAAAGCGAGTTGTGCCAGCATGCAAGGAGGGGAAGAGGCAGAGGGGGCAAGCCAACCCCAAACTTAGGTCGGGCATGTCCCACTACAGGGGCATTTTGGACGAAGACGAACACATGTTCAAGAAATGCTCAAACAAGGCAAACAATACCCCAAAAATACTCCCCAGACTATTTTCGAATATTTTTGAATATTCCCCCTGTCGAGTGACATGTCCGACTCAACTTTAAACACAAACAAGCGGTAACCAACGCGCGGAGGTTGCGCAGGGCCCCCGAGACGGCAGAGGGCAGGAGGCAGAAACCATTTCTCGACCTCGCCTCGCCTCCGCTCGCGCGCCGAGGTGCCGTCGAGGCGCTGGCCCGTGCGGAGGGCGTCCGCGGTGCTCCGGCGGGCTTGGCCAGCTGTTCGAGGCCCTGCTGGGACGAGAAGCTGTCCGCGGGCGTCGGGAGCCTCGAGCGTGGGGAAGCTGAGAAGAACCAATTGAGGGGCACCCACGAACAGCTGCAGCAGCTGAATGCCGCGTTCGCCTCCGAGGGCTCCGAGGTTGAGACCGGGCTCACGAAGGCTGAACAAGTACGTGATGCTATCCGTAGGACGGCGCTCGAGAAGCGCCGCACCAACGAGGACGAGGTGCACGTCGCGGCTGCGGAGGCTGGTGCGCAAGAGGCAACTTCCACTCCAGGGACCACCTCTGGCGGCGAACCCCCCGCGACGGCTGGCGGTGGTGCCAGCGCGGCGGCTGGCTCGAAGGCCGAGGCGGCAGCAGCCCACGACGAGAGGGTGAAGGTCAAGGCCGCCAAGCTGTCTGCGGTCAGAGGATAGCGACATCCAAGATATCAATTATGCCTCCGTCTCCTTCAGCGGCGTGACCCCCTTCGGGGATCAGACTTGGATATGTATGTATATATATATATATGTGTGTGTGTCGGATCGGATCGGTCTCCTCGGAGGCAGCAACTTCAGACGTCATCCACAACAGCTTGCTTCTGGGATCGGGCTACACCCGGACTTAAACCGTTTTTCACAAACTGGCGGAGAACGCACTGCAGGTCTTAACGCCTGCGGGTTCCCACGAATCACACATATGCAAAAGTTAGGCTGCTTCAGGACCGAACACAGTGCACCACGCTGGGGAAGCAAGGAGGACACGAGGAGGGAGAGAGGAAGAACGCGAGAACGGGATTATACCGCCAACTTCCTCTCACACCATCTCTTGCCGTGCTCAATATTTGTGTTGCACACGAAAAGCCTGCACGAGCCACAGAACCATCCATCATGTGCTGCTGTGTCACATATCCAGCACTCGAGCGTCCAGCGAGAATCTCGGACGCGCCCGAAATCGTCGTCTAGGCACACCAAGCAGGTATAGGAAAGCGTGGGGGGTGCAACGGTCAAATTCGTCATGCTCTGGTTTGCCGGCGAATGTTGCAATGGGCGGCCCATGCCCTGTGACGCTGCAGACGCTCTCTGCGATGTCGGCGAACGTTGCAAAGAATCACCCAGGCCAAAGGAATCTGTAGATGCTAGCTGTGATGCTGGCGAACTTTGTGGTGGGCCTCCCATGCCCTTAGAATCTGTAGATGCGATCTTCGATGCCGGTGCGCTTTGCAGTGGGCCGACCATGCCCTGAGATTCTGCGGATGCGATCTGTGATGTCGACGAACGCTGCACATTGTCCAGAGAGCCTGTAGATGCAACTCGTGATGTCGGCGAACTTTGTGATGGGCCTCCAATGTCCTGAGAACCAGCATGCACTGTGTGTGGTGTCGGCAAATGTTGCAAAGTGCCACTCATGCTTAGAGAACCTGTATATGCTATCTTCGATGTCGGCGAACTGTGCAATGGGCCTGCCATTCCCTGAGAATCTGCAGATGCGATCTGTGATGTCGACGAACGCTGCGCAGGGACACCATTGTCCAGATAATCTGTAGATGCAACTCGCGATGACGGCGAACGTTGCAATGGGCCTCCCACGCCCCGAGAATATGCAGATACTGTCTGTGGTGTCGGCGAACGTTGCAGAGGGCCGCCCATGCTCATATAATCTGTAGATGCTATCTTTGATGTCGGGCCGGCGAACTCTGCAATGGGCCTCTCGCGCCCTTAGAACCTGTAGATGCCATCTGCGGCGCCGGCGACCATCGCAATGGGCCTCCCATGACCTGAGAGTCTGCAGATGTTATCAGCGTTGCCGAAATTCGCTGCAAAGGGCCACCATTGTTAAAATAATCTGTAGATGCTATCTGCGATGTCGGCGAATTTTGCACTGGTCCATGCCCTGAGAATCTGCAAGCGCTGTCTGCGGTGTCG